CTTGGTCCGGATGAATTAATACATTTCTTGGGTCGATTTAGACTGGCTAATTGCCTCGTTAAAATGTCAGAGTAAGTATGGGGTAAGCGTTGAGTGATTTATAGTAGGTATTGGTAAGGCCTGGAGATTTGTTAGGAGGTAAGCTATCAATTGCGGAGGTAAGTTCTACCACAGTAAAGGGGGCCTCTAGGCCTTCCCTTTGGGATTGTGAAAGTGTGGGAGTCTCTAAGGAGGCTAGATACTCTGTGGATTCGGCAATGGATGCATGATTAAGATTTACATCTTTGGATAGATTGTATGTGGTGAACTCGTTGCTGATAGCGAAGGAGGCAATAAATCTTTTTTTGGGGCTCGAAATAAGATAATGAATCCTAGTTTGTATCTGCTGTTCTTTAAGCTTTGTTGCCAGAATTTTCCCTGCCCTGTTCCCCTGTGTATATTGGGACATTTTTTATTTTCTCATATTGAAGCTTGTGCATTTTAGATTGTCTTCAGAGATTTTTGCTCGAATTTGTAGGATTTCGTCTTTAGTTTGTTTAGTTGGCGTGATTTGTACTAATTTAATTCCTGCCATCGCTGGGTCCATTTCAGCATCTGATTTTGAGATTGTTTTTTGAGGTAGGATGCTTGCCTAATACAGAGACCCCTCGCCACCGCTTTGTGTGCCTGCCATAGGGGGTCGGTGGAGATTTATGGGGTGTCGTTGTTTATGAAACACTGTGTGAGGCTTTCATTCAAAGATTTAGCAAAATCCTTGTTTTGTACGAGCGACTCATTTAGTCGCCACGCAGGTTTTCCCTTAAAATTTAAGCAGTTTGCTATTGAAATGATCACCAGTACATAATCAGACAAGCCAAAACCCCCAATTGTCTAATCTTCTATCTGGAGCAAGTGGGGTCCCCAGAACTTAACACCTGTTAATTGTAGATTATGTTAGCTTTATTGTAGCTATAATCTTAATTTTATTAATGACAGGAGGCGAATATTTGCTTAAGTCTCTCTTTACTAGAACTCCACAGCAGCACAGAAAAACAACCAATCAGAAAAAAGTTAGGTACTATAAAACTCCCCTCCCCACACATCATTTCCTCTTTCGAGCTGCGACAAAAACAGAACAAAAGGCAGAAAACATAATGGAAAAAAACGAAGTCGTAGATATAATGAATACAACAACGTCCATCATCCGATAAGAACTGTCAAACCCGATAGCGTTGATGGATTGTAAGCTGAAAGAGATAAAACAGAATCGAACAGGTTGGTTAGCCAATGAAATGTGCGCTGAACAAAAACGTGTAGGCACCCAGTGAGATAACCAGAAATACCATAGCTTGCATAGATCCCAACCCTTACTAGGAAAAAAAGGACATAAGAGTAAGTGAGAGGTAGCAGAGACAACAAGCAGAGTTGCATACCTACCTGCTGAACCCAAACTATTAAAGTTAAACAAGGGCAGGATAAGAATGGGAGGGAAATATTCGCCTCCTGTCATTAATAAAATTAAGATTATAGATACACTAAAGCTAGCATAATCTACAATTTTATCACATGACAGGAGGCTTCATATTTGCTGTTTTAACGCTCAAGCAACAAATCCAACAATGTTTGTTTCGCTGATACCACTTCCGGGAGAAAACTAGAGCAAAACCCAAATGGGCCTTGAATAGTGAGAAGTGACAGCGGATGGCTCGATGAAGGTGCCAGCTGTCAATGTACCACCAGTTATAGAAAACACACAATCCGCTCTTAGACCGTATGTGCGGATGTGACTCGCAAGGTCGATCTAAAAATCGTATTCCTGTGGCGTAAATTGTGAAGATCCTTTGCGAGTTTGGAATGCGAGGAAAGACAGCCACTAGGTCTCAACCCTCTATGTGGAAGATTGCACCTCCGATCGTGTCAGAATCACCCGGTGATATGGTCTTGTCGGCAAACTCCAACCGCCAGTAAGGTGTCTGAGCCCATCACCAAGTCTGTCACAAAACCGAAAGGGTCTTTTCGTTCCCTACTGATCTACCAGGCGAGTGGTCTCATCCAGGAAAGAACTAACTACACTGGCCCGAGTGCGGGTCAAATCAGTCTTCTACTAAGTGTTTCTTATACTCCAATTAGACTGCGGAATCTGCGACTGTGGCAGGCCAAGTACTCCCAAGGGATGTCCTGTCAGGGATCCAAACTGAATTTGTGTAGCGAAACAGTGCTAGACCCTATGGTTCGAAAAGTAGGCAGGCTGGAGAAAAACCAAATCGGTCCTGGCAAGCACGTCTGGATCATGATCTCCCTCCGTGAGACTGTCAACTGATTAGGGAGAAAGTGAAATAGTCCTAATAACTTCCTGTATGATCCCGTTCCGGTCCAGCCCTGACCAAAGCCCATGGAGGGATTTATGGAATGCACGTCATACCCAAGATAGGGTATAATAGAGTGAGCGAAAAGGAGTAGATGCTAATAGTCTCAGTATAGGTCAAGACATGAGACCATATGCATCACCTGGATATAAACATAGCCAAGTAGGAAAAAAAATATATAAATAATGGCTAAATTAACCCAAAACAAAATTGAGACCATGAAATAAGTGAAAAAATAAAGTATATACAAATATAACTAATGCCACTATGCATCCAATAGTATCCAGAGTAAAAGTACTTGCAGATAAAACCGAGCAATCCTACATTGTTTGGTCTCTTTGTGACCACGATCAACAGCCCTATACTGTCTTTTACTTTAGGGACCTGATCCTTTTTTGGATGGCTCCACATTGGGTCTTTGTGTACCCTGGACAGTTAGGGCTCGAGATCTAGTATTTTAGCAGATAGCACCCAGATGTCTACAAGGGTTAGATCAGAGATAGGGGTCACAGTTACGATTGATATTTTCATTAAGCTAGCCTTCTAATAAAGCTTTATCTCAGTATTTTATATCCTATCCCTTTATTTATTTGGAAGTGACCTCTACCTGTTTCTACCTTGGATGCATAGTGGCATTATTTATAATTGTATATACTTTATTTTTTCACTTATTTCATGGTCTCAATTTTGTTTTGGGTTAATTTAGTCATTATTTATATATTTTTTTCCTACTTGACTATGTTTATATCCAGGTGATGCATATGGTCTCATGTCTTGACCTATTTTGAGACAATTAGCATCTACTCCTTTTCGTTTATTACCTATATTGGGGTTAAGCCCCTGGAGTCTCCCTGCGGTACATTGGACCGCGAGCTTAGACTGGCACTATTATCTTAGGATATAGTGCTGGGGTCTGCTCTCGCTGTCTTGTATTTGTTTTTATAATAGAGTGAGACCTCTAAGACTCTATATCCATCACTTGTCAGGATCTGTTATCTCCAAGAGTGGTTCGTAGGTCAAGGGACCCAGGCTTTTGCACTCGAGGCCTGAAGTCTAGGCATCCCTATGAAAGAAACATCCCCGTCTTCGTCTAGCGACCCGTGATACTCCTATTGTACTCTAATACGTAGGTAAAACGACAAATCTCTTCGCTAGTGATGCTGCCTCCCGAGCATAGATATAGCATGGTGTTTAAATGGGGCATTTAGCCCCTTGACGTTATGGAAGACTAATCTAATGATTAGCATGAGAAACTGTGTCATACATCTTAATCAACATACATTTCCACCACAATACCAGCATTGCAAGTTCCCGACCCACCTTCAATGAAAAGGAGGAGAAAGTAAAAGTAGGAAAGAAGAAAAGAGCAGAAAAGAAAACAAAATATCAATTAGGATATCCAGTCCTTAAAGGACTAGAGCTGGTCGCCCTCCAGCGGACCAAACCGGAATTCGGATGTGCTGAGTGAACCGACTCCGTGACCATGGGAAAGCAGAGACCTCCTGCTAGGCATGTGCGCCAAATGAGCCCACTCTACACAGTTTTTAATTATGGCGACAGTTGTCCTTTAAAGAAAATCCACCCACTTCTTCATAATTAACTATATTCAAGGTAGGTGAATAAGTGGGTGCTTTAATAACAGCGAGTACCAAGTGTGGTCAATGGCTTCAGGAAAGGTGTGTATTCTGTACTTGGCACCTGTAATTGGTTTGCTAGAAGGCTTGCAGACACCCAAACCAAATACAATTTATCTCCTCCTTTTAGCCTATAAAGTGGTGATTGGGTTAGTTGCAATCACAAGGCCCTAACCGTCCGGTGATTATATTTTATCCCATGGCACACATGATGGAGGAAGAAGAGGGCTATTTGTTAGGCTCATTCAATTATTAGGAGGATTAAGTAATAAAACTACTTACTAAATAATCACATTCCTATAAAAATAAAGTTATCTTAGCATTAAGGAATATTGCATTTGGTGCTTTACAACCCACTTTTTCAAAATAACAATTGTTACTTATAATTAGTGATCCATTTTACTGATTAGAGTTTTCAACAATTTGGAGACCCAAGTTAAAAGAATATTACAAGTTTTGTTGCAGAACCATTTCTATACATTATATTCTGTAACATCTGCTGGATGAAAGAAGTTAGATTTTACCCTCACGGGAATTTCTGCAGATAAAATCTCATGATCACTTCCTTCTCTCCTTCTAATACTTTTCTAGTGGACGTTCGGAAAAATATATTTTCTAAATTAATTGGTATTTTCTTCCTATTGTGTTAGTAAATAAGTTCTAAATGATGTGATATGATCAATGTTCCATTAAATGGACACTGCGTCTGCATGTACCATGAGGACCTATAATCAATGCTTAGATCATGGTACAAGGAGGTCGCTGACATGTCTTTCAGCATCCTGTTGGATCTAATTAATTACAGAAGCAGCATGATACATGTACAAGTCCCATAATATGTTTAGAGGTTCTAATAGCTTTTCATGAGAGTTCCCGTACAGCAGCTGTATATTGATTTATTTTGCATTATCTCTACATGCATTATAAGGTGGATAAAATATACAGAAAATGCACAAACACTCTGTATAAACAACAAATTGATTTTAAAATAAGAGAAGTTGGGGGGCGGGGCCTGACTGTCATGGAGGCTAGACGCACACAAGCCCAACAATTACAGCTTTCAACTGGGCCAGAACGAGATAAATTCACGATGCCTCAACTTTCTTCAAATTGGGGAAGAGGTTGGCGTTGCACCGAGGGTTTGTTAGCCCCACCATGGAAAATGCGGCCCAGTGCACACCATGCTGGAGATGTGCCCGATCTCCTACACACTGCTGGACTCTGTGAGATGCCAGCGGCACTACTGAAATTTCCAATCCTAGAGGGCAGATGGCACAACGCGTCTGGTCCCAACATGGCGGAGATACTATCAGAGTGTCAGAGATGCAGTGCGGACTCACCTCTTCCTCACACCTACACTGAAGACGTCGATACCGTCCGGTATAGCTCCAGAACAAGGACGCAGGAAAAGCCACGGCGGGACTCATAGGGAGTGTGAGATACAATGGGGAACCCCAATCCTGACATCTACTTTGACCTGCCAGTTTACATCTGAGCCTAAGATCCTGAAGTACTTTTCCCTATTGCAGGACGGTGCTCTGCCCATTAAGGGAATAGGCTCAGACGGACTGAGTTGTAAAGGGCTCCTGGCTTCTCATCTTTTTCCGTTGCAAAGTGTTATCACTTGCAATTGTGTTTTCTTTACTTCTGTGGATTAGTTTGTGTTCTGTACCTTTCTCTTACTCTAACTACCATGGGGACTCTTCAGGGAATTACTCTAAGCCACGCAGTCTTGTGGGACTCTGTCTTGTCTGTCGCGGGTGTTGGCTGACTTTGGCCCAAACATTGCCATGCTTGTTTAACCTAGCTGCTCAATTCTATACTCTGTCTGATACATGCATGTTTTTTTTACTTCCTGGCAGCGTACACCGTGGGATATTTACTACTGAGCTTTATGGTTGTTATTCACCTGTGGGGTGGGATATTTGCTGTTCAGCAGTCATCCAGCCTGTATAATAACCTGCAAACATTATACTCTTCACTCACCACCATGTTGCATACATGTCTAGAATGTTTTAGCTTGATCCATAGCATTGTGCTGTCTGCATCGTAGACATGATGCTCCAGCGTGTTTATTCTTACATAATATACACCTGTTATGCAACATCTCCTATACGCCAGTTACGCTGCTAAAGCCTAAACTAGTTACATAGTTACATAGCTGAAAAGAGACTTGCGTCCATCAAGTTCAGCCTTCCTCACATATGTTTTTGCTGTTGATGCAAAAGAAGGCAAAAAACTCAAAATAGCAGTCAGATGGATCAAGCTGCTATTACCCCACTAATTAGAAATTATATCCCTGTATGTTTTGTTTTTGCAAGTATTTATCCAATTGCAGTTTAAACGTCTGTATGGACTCTGATAAAACCACCTCTTCAGACAGAGAATTCCATATCCTTATTGCTCTTACTGTAAAAAAAACCTTTTCTGCCGTAGATTAAATCTCCTTTCTTCCAGCCTGAATGTGTGACCTCGTATCCTATGTATAGCCCTGTTTATGGATAGTTTTCCAGATAATGGTTTGTACTGGCTCCGAATATATTTGCATAATGTTATCAAATCCCCTCTGAGGTGCCGTTTTTCCGAACGAAAGAGATTTAAATTTTTTTTAACCTTTCTTTGTAACTAAAATGCTCCATTCCTTTTATCAATTTTGTAGCTCGTCTCTGCACTTTTTCTAGTGCCATGATATCCTTTTTAGAATAGGTGCCCAAAATTGCACAGCATATTCAAGGTGTCTTACCAATGATTTATAAAGAGGCAAAAAAAATTAAAATTTCATCCCGAGAATTTATGCCCCTATTTCTACATGACAAAACCTTACTGTCCTTTGCAACTGCAGATTGACATTGCATATTGCTGCTTAATTTGTTGTCTATAACAATACCCAAATCCTTCTTGTGTGAAGTTATTCCTTATTCACTACCATTTAGGGTGTATGTTGCTTGTGCATTCTTGACCCCAAAGTGCATAACTTTGCATTTCTCTACGTTAAATTTCATCTGCCATTTTAGTGCCCAATCTATCCAAATCCCTCTGCAGCAAAGCAATAATTGTTCACATTTTATTACTTAATGTTTTGTGTCATCTGCAAACACTGATACATGGCTTTCAATGCCTATTTCAAGATCATTTATAAATATGTTAAATAGAAGCGGTCCCAAAACAGAACCCTGAGGGACAGGGCCGCCATCAGAAATTTTGGGGCCCCTGACAAAGCACAAGGTCTGGGCCCCCCCTCACTCCCGGGCCCGCCCACGCCCTACCTGGTCCGCTGACAATGATGCAGGACTGAATGTGGTGTGTATAGTGGAAGTGAATTAGAATATGTGTAATGGATGTAGTGTTTGTGTATTAGATACTGTTTGTACAGTGAATGCAGAGTGTGTGTTTGTGTAGCGGATGCAGTGTGTATAGTGAACACAGAGTGTGTTTGAGTAGTGGATATACTGTGTGTACAGTGATGTAGTGTGTGTTTGTGTAGTGGATGTAGTGTTTGTATGTACTAGATGAAATGTGTTTAGTGGGTGCAGTGTCTGTAGTGGATGTAGTGCATGTATTAGACGCAGTGTCTGTGTATAGTGAATGCAGAGTGTTTCAATGTGTGGTGGATGTAGTGTGTGTACTGTGAATACAGGATGTTTGTGTAGTGGATGCTGTGTGTACAGTTAATGCAGAGTGTATGTTAGTGTAGTGAATCCAGAGTGTATGCATAGTTTAGTGAATGCAGAGTGTGTGTTAGTGTGTAGTGAATGCAGAGTGTGTCAGTGTAATGAATGTAGTGTGTGTGTTAGTGCAGTGAATGCAGAGTGTGTGTTAATGTGTAGTGAATGCAGAGTGTGTGTTAATGTGTAGTGAATGCAGAGTGTGTGTTAGTGTAGTGAATGCAGAATGTGTTAATGTGTAGTGAATGCAGAGAGTGTGTTAGTGTAGTGAATACAGAGAGTGTGTTAGTGTGTAGCGGATGCAGAGTGTGTTAGTGTAGTGAATGCAGAGAGTGTGTTAGTGTGTAGCGGATGCAGAGTGTGTGAGTTAGTGTAGTGAATGCAGAGAGTGTGTTAGTGTGTAGCGGATGCAGAGTATGTGTTAGTGTAGTAAATGCAGAGAGTGTGTTAGTGTGTAGTGGATGCAGAGTGTGTGTTAGTGTGTAGCGGATGCAGAGTGTGTGTTAGTGTAGTGAATTCAGAGAGTGTGTTAGTGTGTAGCGGATGCAGAGTGTGTGTGTTAGTGTAGTGAATGCAGAGTGTGTTAATGTGTAGTGAATGCAGAGAGTGGGTTAGTGTGTAGCGGATGCAGAGTGTGTGTTAGTGTAGTGAATGCAGAGAGTGTGTTAGTGTGTGGTGGATGCAGAGTGTGTGTTAATGTGCAGCGGATGCAGAGTGTGTGTTAGTGTAGTGAATGCAGAGTGTGTTAATGTGTAGCGAAACAGAGTGTGTGTCAGTATAGTGGATGCAGTGAGTGTGTTAGTGTGTAGTGTATACAGAGTGTATGTTGTATTAGTGTATGCAGTGTGTGTGTTGTGTTAGTGTATGCAGTGTGTGTGTTGTGTTAGTGTATGCAGTGTGTTGTGTTAGTGTATGTAGTGTGTGTTGTGTTAGTGTATGTAGTGTGTGTTGTGTTAGTGTATGCAGTGTGTGTGTTGTGTTAGTGTATGCAGTGTGTGTGTTGTTAGTGTATGCAGTGTGGGTGTTGTGTTAGTGTATGCAGTGTGTGTGTGTGTTGTGTTAGTGTATGCAGTGTGTGTGTTGTTAGTGTATGCAGTGTATGTGTGTGTTAGTGTATGCAGTGTGTGTGTTGTGTTATTGTATGCAGTGTGTGTGTTAGTGTATGCAGTGTGTGTGTTGTGTTAGTGAATGCAGTGTATGTGTGTGTTAGTGAATGCAGTGTATGTGTGTGTTAGTGTATGCAGTGTGTGTGTTGTTAGTGTATGCAGTGTATGTGTGTGTTAGTGTATGCAGTGTGTGTGTTGTGTTATTGTATGCAGTGTGTGTGTTGTGTTGGGTGTGTCTGGTGTGTGTGTGTTGGTGTATGCGGTGTGTGTGTTGTTGGGTGTATGCAGTGTGTTGTGTTGAGTGTATGTGTTGTGTGTTGGATTAATGCGGTGTGTGTGTTGTTGGTCGTATGCGGTCGTGTGTGTTGGATGTATGCGGTCGTGTTGGTCTGGTCGTGGATGTATGTGTGTGTTGTTGGTGTGGTCTGGTCGTGTTGGTCGTGTCTGGTCGTGGATGTCTGGTCGTGTGTTGTATGCGGTGTGTGTGTTGTGTGTTGGTCATTATGCGGTGTGTGTGTTGTGTTGGTGTGTCTGGTCGTGTTGTGTGCGGTGTGTGTTGGTCTGTCTGCGGTCGTGTGTGTGTTGGGTCGGTCAGTGTTGTTGGTCGTCTGGTCGGTGTGTTGTGTGTTGGATGTGTGTGTTGTGTTAGTGTATGCAGTGTGTGTGTGTGTGTGTTGTGTTAATGTATGCAGTGTGTGTGTGTTGTGTGTTAGTGTATGCAGTGTGTGTGTGTTGTGTGTTAGTGTATGCAGTGTGTGTGTTGTTAGTGTATGCAGTGTGTGTGTTGTGTTAGTGTATGCAGTGTGTGTGTTGTGTTAGTGTATGTATTGTGTGTGTTGTGTTAGTGTATGTATTGTGTGTGTTGTGTAAATGTGTGATCTGGGGGGGGAGGGGGAGGAAGGGGCATTTTAATATTAATTTTTAATTAATTTAATTAAATGTTTCTCCCCCCTCCCTGCTTACCTGTATCCAGGGAGGGGGGAGCTTCCATCTGTGGTGGCCCGGTGGCATGGGGGCCCCCGGCTCCCTGTTACCGTCCGCAGAGGGGGCCCTGGCAGCACACATCTTCTCCTCCTCTCTGCTCTCTCCTCATAACTCTCGCGAGACCCGCGGAGCGTTGCCATGGTAACCGGGTCTCGCGAGAGTTATGAGGAGAGAGGAGAGGAGGAGAAGCTGTGTGCTGCCAGGGCCCCCTCTGCGGACGGTAACAGGGAGCCGGGGGCCCGCGGCTGCACACATAGATAGCGAGATTCGCTATCTATGTGTGCAGAGAAACAAAGTGGGGCCCAGGACTGCCAGAGCAGTCCGGGCCCCCCAGGGCCGCCGGGCCCGTGACAACAGTCACGGTTGTCACCCCCTGATGGCGGCCCTGCTGAGGGACACCACTTACCACTTTTGTCCAGCCTGAAAATTTACCATTAATTACAACTTGTTGTACTCTATCCTTAAACCAATGTTCTACCCAAGAACAAGAATATTCATCTAGACCAGGGGTTCTCAACCCAGTCCTCAAGGACCCCCGAACTGTCCAGGATTTAGGGATTACCCTGCTGTGTCTAAAGTGTTTGTTTTCCCTCCCCCCCAAAAAACACAAAAAACAGGGTAATCCCTAAATCCTGGACTGGTAGGGGGTCCTTGAGTACTGGGTTGAAAACCCC